TTTTTATTTTAAAAAATTGCTGCGTTATTATAATACGATACGCTCTCTTGATTTTATTTAAAATATAAATTGTATATTATAATATTTATAAAAATTATTATTATTATTTTTTTAAATTGAAATTCTACTATACACGTTAATAAAATTATGATAAATTTAACGATTATGTAAAAAAATAATTCGTTTGTTAATTTAGCTTGTCTGAACAAATACACGTTAAGTGAATTATTATTGTCATTTTTTTCTCTCCTAAATTTCAATTGTCTTCGAAACGATGATTTATAATTTCATATTACTCATTTAATTTTTTTTGTAAGAAATGAATAAATGTAAAAAAAAATCTCATGCAAATGAAAACAAATAAAAATATTATATTAAACAACTTCCTAAGAAATGAGACATTTATATTAAAATATATTCATTTTTGTAATATTTAATTCATGATTTTTATTAATCACACGCGCTTATAATTAATAATAATAATAATATTTCGACAATTATTATTAAAAAAAATTAAAGTAATTACATTAATTTTAATTAATATATTGAAATGTAAGATTTTCACGTTTTCAGATGTAAACGTGTTAAACTTTATATGAACACTTAAATATTTTGGAGATTTTGACTTACATTTTATTGTTTTTTTCTTAATTTTTTTATTAAATATAAATGATTAAAAAATATTCTTAACATTATATTTTTTTCCCTCTCAAAATATCCTTAGTTTGTTATTAATTAACTTTGTTAATATAATTATTTGTTTTGTTCATAATCCTGTTGTTTTTCCTTGTTAATTGTTTTTATTCTTAAACAAAGATCAATTCTATTAAATTATTTATATAGTCTATTAAGAATATGATTAAAAATATTTTCTTCTTTATACTGTATTTCTAATTAAATTTTCCACGTTTTAAGAATAATTTTTTGAAAATAACCTATACTTGCATAAACAAAAATAGCTGATAATTTTATTTAGCAAAATGTAAGCCGGTAAAATATTCAAATAATAAATATAGAATAATATGTATAAAACATATAAAATGCTAAATATAAATAAATGTTTTATATATAAGGAACGAATTTAACTGCAGAAGTAAATTTATTTATGATAAATATGAATAAATAACACTCAATTTAAGTGTTTTCTTTCATATTTATCATATATAGATTGAAATAAAAACATTCATATAACAGAAATTAGTTTCGATTTATTCTACTCGAAAGAAAAATATTTAAAATATATTTTTTATTAAAAAATAATGGCTTATGTTTATCAACGATATAATTATATTTTCATTTTCTAGAAGAAATGGGAAATCAAATACAGTATCTGGTGTCGGTGGCTAATATTTATTTATTTAGTTTTTTATTAAATTAGGATATTAATTAATTATGAGCACGACACTTTGATGATTAATGAAGTATTTAAAGAAAAATCTTTTATAAACAGTCAGCAACACAAAATCATTAATTGATTTATAGAATAATCATCCACGTAAACAAAAATTGCTATACCAGATTTTGTTTCTGTTGAAGTAATTACACCTTAATTATCAGCATATAAAAATATTTTTGTATTGCTTTACATTAAAACATTTTAAATTTAATTAGTGAATATAATTAAAAGAATATCAGAAACAAAAAAAAATAAAATAAAAGGTAATTGTAAATAGAAATGTTATTCGAGCAGAAAATTAGAAGAATTACTGTAAGATATTTCTGGAGGAATTTTTTTGAGAAAATATAAACGGCTCTTATAAGCTTTCTGGAACAATAAATTGATTTTTTTTTTAATTTAAACAATAATTCGTTCTTGTATTTAAAATATAATAATAAAAATACTTAAAATTGAAAGCATTTTTCTATTAATATGTTGCATATTTTTTTTAATAATGCAGAATTCTTATAAATAAATAACGATTTCAAATATTTTCAGCCTTCTTAATTATTTTCACTGCTTCAGGCTATTTTGTAAATGCTAGAAGTTTACTTTTGCAAAACATTTAAATTGCAACAGTTTAATTAATGATTGATTTTTACAACATTCTTATCAGTTTTAATGTTTAGTAAGATCGAATTCATTTAATAATGTTGTTGAGAATGCTGAATAGTTGAACAAATGTTTTTTATATATATTTATTTATTTTTTTAATAAAAATCTTAAATAATTCTGAAAATTGAAAGAAAGAAAAAAAAGATACTGAGAAAACATTCTTAAAAATTAATGTTTTAATGTTTTTTTCAGAAGAAAGATGGGTGATACTTCGCTAGTGGACAGTTAAATTTGATTTTGTAACTATTCCAAACTTTCCTCATAGTTTAAATATTAATTCTCAATAAAAGAACTTCAATACTCTTCTTACGTAATGAATTTATCGAAGATATAAGCTAATTAATTTCTCATTTATTAGAATTATACATTATATAACGTCAATACGAATAATTCCTTCATATTACCGAATGTTATTTACCAAAAAGATTCTGTAAATATTTCAATTCGTATCAGAAAAGTAATGATCTATACCTAAAATTCTCCATATTCAAAGAACATTTATCTAAAAATAATTAACTTATAGTAAAACCATTATTAAAACGCTTAAATTCTAATTATTCGTGCTAAACATGATTTTAAATCATTTTTAAACTTTATTTCGAACATTGATTTGATTCAAAACTTCTAAATAATCACAAACTGAAAACAAGAATATAAAACTTTGGGTCTAAACCTTTCTTCAAGAGCTGAAGAAAGGTTTAAACCCAAAATGCATATAAAAACGACAATTCAAAGTGATTAATTTTGCCATGCTCTTCTAAACACATATCCTGTATGATAAGGACGTACAGTACATTTGTCAAGTTGTGAAGTTTAAGAAGTACAACAAATTGAATAGGACAAGAAGCTTTGAACACAAAGAATATAAAACCTAATCCAAAATAAACTAGAAAATGTTTCGAGTCTCCTAATAATTATACTGTTGTAAGTTATATTATTGATCTGTCTTCATTCTCAATTATTTCACTATTTCCCTTCATATTCATAAATAAATAAAGAAATCATTACCCTTTATTAAAATCTTTAAATTGGAAAACATTTCAATGTACTATATTCAGAATTTTACGTCAGATTCTACTCCAGATGCAAAATATCTGTCGATTTAAAATTCAAACTAATTATTAACGGTTGGAATGTTATATTCAGGTTTTATTTACATACTTTTAGGGGGAGAAAATCTGAATTATCTCTTATATAAATAGTTTAACAACAATTTTTTAATCAGAATTTTTAAAAAGTTACTGTCAAATTATTTCATACTTTTTGTCAACATGAAGTATCATTTATGTAATGTGTTTCAAGAGCATAATGTTAAGTCGCAAACTTTATTATTTGATCTCACGTCAAGAAATTTCTCTAATATTTATATAAAGATTTAATAGTATTATATATTAAAAACAAAATCTTAAATAGTCTCTTCAATTTGCTTTTTTCAACCGACTTAATTTCATCATTTAATCTCGTTTTTTAAAAGAAAACTCATTTTTTTTAAATTTGATTTATGCAACTTTTTAAATCGAAATTTAATACTTTCATCATATTTAAATTAATATTACAATTCAAAAAATGTATTAAAGATGTATTTGCTAATATTACTATGCGCTCATTCGATAATCATTTTTATAATCGCATCCACATTAATCAAGAGATCAACGAGAAGATTCTATTAGAAATTTTTTTCTTAATTTTATATATTAATGACCTATTCAAATCATCAATTTAAGCATATGCCGAAGACACAATTCTAATTATCCAAACTTTTTTTTTGATATAAAATTAATTTAATCCAAATTTCTCTCTTTTGTAATGGTCATCATATTATTTCAGATCATTTTTTGGATGTTATATTTCTTTTATCCTCTAAGAAAACATTCTTTCCTCGATTGTTCTTTTCCCCAAGAGACTATGTGGATATAGAATATCTTTCATGATCTTTCGATTAAAGCATTTACAACTTACATAACATTGTAAGTGATTTCTTAAGTTTCCCTAAACATACGATTCAATCGCTATTCTAATTTGTTTACATTCTCGCATTTAGCGCATTAGCATTAGCAAATAAAATTAGCATATATATACACAAATTTTATTAACATTTTATATAAATTTCTGCTCTTGATAAATAGTATTCCATGAGGCTTTTAATATAGATCATTACTTTGTACCTATTGTTCTCATTTGAGTCCTTTCTAAATAACTTAAACTTAAATAACAAACTTAAACAGTAATAAAACTTTGTTATAAAATATTTTGAAGTTTATCTAAATTTATAAATATTAAATATTTCGTTAAAAATATAAACAATATTCATGTCTATGTAGAGATAAGTGCTGTTTCTATATCCATTTCTGTATAGAAACAAATATACAAACAGTATATTTATATAGAAATGAATATTATGTGTGTCTTAGAAGCCTTCAATAAAGTTTATATATGTTTCAACTCGATTAAATAAATTGTTAACACCTTTTTTGTACTGTACATGTTTATTGTTTTTAAACTCGAAACCGATTTTCAAAATACTATTATATAAATTTTCTTCCAGTACAGATATGCAATTATAAGTACTATTTGCTTATAGTAGTGTACAGTTCTGTATAGTTCTTAATTACCAAGTTAAAACATTAAACTTAAAAAATTCGATGAAAAATATACTTTCCTTTCTTTTGAATTTTGATCTTCTAATTACGAAAATAATAAATTAAATTTAAATATATTTCATTCATTTTTTAATGAAATTATTTACACTTATATTTTAATTCATTAATCTTCGATACTGTGTTCAGCTATTAATAATAACATATGAAAATATGGATAATGTGTATGCTTATACAATATTCAATAGGAGAATGTAGAAAAGCCGTTCGTATAGAACCGGTGGCATGTTATAAATTATTCACGTTATATAACATGAATCAGTATACTTTAACCATAAATAAACAACACGTATTATGCACAGATTTAATTTACGTACAATCGGTTTCTTACAAAAAAAGTTGATTTTGTTTGGTTTTTTTTTATTTTTGTATCAACGCAACAATCAAAATGTTCAGAACACGATCTAAACGTTAAGAGTTGATACATTTTATTAAAATTTTTATACACATTTCTTTGAAAGTTTGTAGAAAAAATTAATTCCGAGAAATCAACATTTGTTATTAATATATTATTTACATTGAAATTTGAAATTTAAAAATATTTTAGAAATAATTTTAAACGTAAAAAATGTTTAGACCATGTTCTGAAATATAGCACCTAGCATGTGAGATAAAACATTACACACATCTACAACACATTCCAAGGAAGATTTTATGTGTATATTGTCTCTTTCTTCCTCTCGTTCTTAGTTTAGCTGGTGATTTTTTTTCCCCCAAAAGTTGATCCTGTTGAAAAAAGACTAGGCAATCGCGCAAAATTTTTTGCGGGTCTGGCACTTTTGGTCGTCGTCACCTTACACCTGTGTTGCCCGCAATTTGAATGTTAGAGTCAACGAATTATAGTTCACCAACTGGCAAGAGCACTGGCATTTACACTTTCGAACGTCCACCGTTGATTTTGGTTTTGAGGATCGCAGGGGCTCATAAACAGTTCTTTTCTCTCCGCATCACAGTCTAAACAGTTCCCTGTGATTGGATGATGAAGATGTTGAGTACCCTTTAAGAAAAGAAAAAATTAAATTAAATTAATAAAATCGTATTTATAACTGTAATTAATGGAGTTTAAATTGTATTCGTGTATAAGCTGAGAACGATACAAATCAAATTTTTCTGAAGCTGCATCTGTTTCTGGCTGATAGACAAGAAAGTAAGAAAAAACTTCTACAAAACCCAAAGATTGATTTAAAGAATCATTTTTCAGGCTTTCTAAAATGGCAATCCGTATTAGATCTTTATGGCAAAACAAAGTTTAAAATATACAGTATTCTATGGCATAAACAACAATTTATTTTCTTTCTTCGAATTAACTAATCGAAAATGGTTTGCATTTTCTTGAAAATTTATAACATATTTTTATCTTTACGATTATTCCTAAATGTTTATTAGATCTTTAAGATAACTTAACCAAAAATTACACTGGAAATTTTATCGAAATCTATAAAATCTTTTTTCTGAAGTTTTTATTGCAGAAACGATTCAGCTGAACTGATAAGCCGATTTTGATGAAATTTGGTCTTCTTTGAACGTTATTGCAAGTGTTCCAATCATTGTTAGATGAAAAAAATCCTTTTTTTTCTCGAATATCTTCTCTGGAGACTAAAATGCTGCATTATAAGATATAAAAAAAAATGTTTTTGTATGATTTACCTGAAAACCTATTGAGATTCTTCATAGTTATCGAAAAATGCTCTAAATATTTTCACAGAAAGAAGGGGGAAAACCTCTTATCGTTAACTGAATACCGAATTACTTTTAAAAAAAAGTATTGATTTTTCATTCATTTGATGCGAAATAAATATAAATTTTGTTTGTATTCTCCCGTTTTAAGTAGAAAAATATTATGAATTAGATAGTAGAAAATAGATGTCGGCCTAATCAGTATATTTCTTGTTCTGCAAGTAATTTCTAAGAATCTTCTCTCATCCGATCCATTTAGAATCTAGCTATAAATAAACTGTGTTATTTAATGTAAAATTTTATAAAGTTTTAATGATTTATAACGATAGAAGACTTTAATTTATAATAAGTATTGTTATATTCTACCCAAAAGTTAAAAAATAAAAATATATTAAACTTTTAGATTTAAAGGATTAAAAAGAAAATAAAGTGTTCTAAAATTAGTTTGATGAGTGAAGTATTGTAAAGTTAAAGATAACTTTATACCTCTGAGGGGTGCAATTCTAAGATATGATGCAATTCTTAGATATACTCAGGAGATGGAATCAAACAATGGAGACTGCTTGTTACTCACCAAGTCGTACTTCCACAGTTGATTGCCCTGCATCCCGTGACAGCTCCACAAGACAACCGAAGCATGTTTCTCAGAACTAGAGACGTCAAAACAGACATTTCGTTTAATGGGTCGTATGTCCTTGTGCCAGCTCAGCACAAATTGCTGAAATGAAACAAAATAGTTGAATTCTGAACAGAATAACCTTTTAACTATAAAACGGCGATTGATTACTTTCTCAAAACTTAAAAAAAAGTTTACTTTACAAAGAATCTGTTAACAAATAAATAAAATTGTATTATAAGTAAAAACTTCCGAAGAAACTTGAAGGAAGAAATGCTTTGTGAATATCAAATAATTTTTTAGTTGATATGCCACATAAATAGAACTATCAGAATTTTCCTTTGCATATATTCATGCAAATTTTTTGAAGATGTACTATTCTTTCTCTTTTTATACATTTTTAGTTTCTACCTTCTCGCTTACTTTAATACGTTTATGTCATATTTGAATTTCATAAAACAAATATTTATTTTTATTATTATGCTATTCAGAATATTTTCTTTTGAATATAGATTTTTGTATTTCTTTATTAAATCATTGGAAAATTTTTCCGGTTTGAATTTAAGATGGTATCAAGAGAATGAAAGGAACTGAGAGCAGGATAACTTTTCCATGCTGAGTAATCCATAAGCAAAGGAAAAATATGAATTGTATGAGTTTGGAATATATGTTTAGGTAATGCAATTCCGTGGATGTTTCTGAAGGTGATCTCTGAAATATTGATAGAATGTGCGATAGATTATGAGTGAGGTAGATTGTGAATTTAAATTAAATGGATATCATGTAGCTCACCTGTTCTCCACCCTGTTTTGGATTATCTTTAATGCATTTTTCGAGTCCGAATCGTTGATTCTGGCCACGAAATCTCGTATCGATGCACAGATCACTGGCCACATTTCTTATCTAAATAATTCAATGAAAATCGTTACAATTATAACTTATTTTAAGTACCAATAAATACGTCTAAATGCTACTCGAATAACCAGTCATTAAATTCACATTAGAGAAAAAATATTTTCAAGTTTCTAACATACAGACCATACAATATCTAACAAATTTTAAAAAAATTAATAACATGTTAAATAATATGAATAGCCATTTTTATTTAATGCTGCAAGATTGTTTCTGTATAAAATTATATTTTTTTTGATTGATTAAAAATTTAAAAAGGCACAAAAAAAATGTTTTTTATTAAGTTGAAATCATAAATTAATTTCATGAGTAAAGTTCAATCAGTAATTAGCTATGAAAGAATCTGGGGTTATTATTTAAAATAGACACACGAAATCCTTGTTAAATTAAGTATTATGACATATATTAACGCCACAATTAATTCAAACAGAAATTTATCCTATTTTATATCTTGTTTATATTATCTTGTCATCTAATACTAATATAATTTTATACAGAAGTAAAACAATAAATTAATATATTCGCTATATAATATTATTCTATTNCATAACTTTTATGGAAGACATTTTAATTTTTATTTTTTACAATTGAATTTTAAGAGTAGAGACAGGCAATGGCTTAAGTATTAATGAATAACCTTATAATTTGCAAAATTACCTTAAATAAATTGATTAAAAATACGAATCAAATTATTTCATGTGATTAAAATGTATAGAAATTAACATAAATATTAGTGAAAACTGTATTGTTTAAAGTTTAATATTTAAAAAATAAATGTAAGCTTCAGATTATCTATTGATGCCTATATCTTTAAATGCATATAACTTGAAATAAATCTGATTTTATCAGAAGATTTCATAGGCAAAGGAAAAATTTCCATTCTTCTGTATGATAAAAAGGCTTCGATAAATTTACAATATTAAATTTTGTTTTATATGTTAGTAAACTGAAATTTGTACCGAATTTCTAACAGTATGATCTGTTAGAATATTGTGCACATAAATATAGATTTCTCCTCGAAGGATTCAATTTAGAATCCTTTCGGAAAGCGAAACCTCCAGGGCATTCAATATATCTTGGATCATGGGTCTATACAGATCCGTATTTTACAATTTTATAAGGTATTGAGTATATATTCCTGATTTTATAATCTGTTTACTATTTGGTAAGTAGAGATTTTTCAAAAAATATAATTCAATGTATTACTTTGGCGTTTTTTAAAAATAGTATGACATCGTTTCTATTACTGATATTATTAAAAATAATAAAACTTTATATTTGCTTATTTAAGAAATTTATTTATTTATAATTTATCTCTCTGTCTCCACGAAAGATATAAGTTTGTAAGTCTGTATATTAAAATATTGAAATTATTTAACATATTTTTTTTTTCCAAATTAATTTATGATTAAATATTATTAGATATTTTCTTGAAATAAATTTAATTAAGCTAATGAACCGTTTTAAAAAGCCTTAACTAGATACTAATTTATTAGATTAATTTGTTAAAGAGAATACAAAGATAAAGGATCCGTAGCTAAATCTAAACCAATAATACAGTAAAACCACTCTTACTTTTAGATATAAAAGAAGTAAGCTAAGTGCCTGTAGTAAACCCGTGGGACATGACGTCGCATTTACCCTAGGGACGAAAGATGGGGAGCTAGACAAGTCGTCATGGCAACCGCTTGTCAGAGTCCAGCGTTTTGTTTACCAATATCTGCAGGAATCGCGTTACAGCCCCTGCCAATGTATCTTCACCGCATGTCTTAAATGACGTGCAGTAAGTCGATATCTGCAGGCGACTTTGCGTTTCAATCGCTATGTTGAATAATAATAATATCCAACCAAGCAAAAGAAAAAAAAAAGAGAGAGAGAATATGAAAGCATGCAGATAACAACAGTGTAATAAACTAATAATTCAAATATGTTGCAACGTATATATCTTTATTACTATAATTGCAAATGTGATTACGTATAATGTTATTCAAACCTTTAATACTATAACATTTTACATATTGACGAAAACATGTCTGTACATATATTTATAAAGACTAATAAAAATCTAACAAAAGTTAATTATAATATCACCTAATTAAGTCTAAGTTATTTAAATTTTGTAATATAATAATACATTTAACGATGCTTACAAATGATAATGTATTCATTATAAAAATTATTTACGGCTTTAAGCTTTAATTAATTATAAAATTATTATTGTTATGCCTGTAAATCCTGATTTAAATGGAAATCACTGTTATAAAATTACACATAAATATTATAATTCGATAAAATGTACAATGAAGAGGGTTTGTTTTTAAGTTTTAAATTGAATAAAAATGCAGTGTTTGTGCTAGAAAGATTCTGATTAGATATTAAAAACTGTAAAAAATTTAAGAAAAAGATACAATCACAATATAATCATTTCATTTTTAGAAATGAAAGTATGTTTTTCACATACTGAGTTATATTCAATGCATTACAAACACGAATTTGATTGAAATGATTTTGTATCCATTTCATATTACCAAGGTATAAATTCTATTGTTTTATTTTTCATTTCAATGTTTAAAACATTTTTCAAAGTAAAGCAAAACTCATTTTTGATACAAAAAAAAAAACTACTTTCTTTCTAAAATAAATTTTATATCTATCGACGAGTATTAACTTTCTATCGTGAGACATCTGTAAAATTAAGTTTCTTTTAACAATTTGGTGCATAGGCATTCATTTTTTTAATATTTAAAACAATGTTTTTTTATTTTCAAAATTCTGTCGTAAAGAAATTGCTTCATCTAGAATTTCTGTGTTAAAAAATTTTAGACTTTAAGATTCACAAGAAGAAAGCTTTTATATTTGGTCACATTCCCTGGTAATAAAATTGATGTTTCAGCAAAGTTAAAATAAATAACGTTGTTAGAATTTAGAAATGATCGATTTAAAGTTTGGAGAAATGAAATTCTGACGTTTTACCTCTGGCTGAAACTTCAACGTGACTTTTAAAATAGATTGTTCATTAATAAAAGATTATAATTAAAGCAGATATTTGATAAAATTATATTTTAATGTAATAATTTGATGGACGAATCGAGTTTAGTATTAAAATGTGAATAATGGACACTTTTCAATTTTGTCAAGGATTAATTTATTACGACTGAAAGATCAGAAATAAATTTCCTTGAGATTAGATATGCTCAGGTTGATGCTTCATTTCTCACTGACATTGCTTATAATCTGAATATGTTAAATCTTCAGCACTTGGGAAAAGACAAACTAATCCTAGTTATCATATAAAAGACATCTTCATTTCCGAGAAATCTTTTCCTGTTTCATAGGAACGTAGCAGATTTATAATATTAGCTAAGGAAGAAGATTCTTTGATGATTACTTCAATAAGCTAAGGAGAAACAAAAACATCAAAGAATTTTTATCAGATATTATGAAATGATTTTAGTCGTTAGCTTGCAGTAGAAAAATTGATTATCTAAATAAATTTTCGCACGAATTACTAAATTTAATTAAAACAAATCTTCTTTGTAAATTTTCAAGAACTTCAAGATTTATATTTCCTACACATAAAACTGAAAAAAAAATTTATATTTCTGAAAAATTATTTTAAAGTATTTTCTGTATTCAAATACTATAAATAATGATTCTTGAATTCCAATAAAATATGATTTCCTTGTTGAATAATATTTACTACATCAATCATCTCATTTTTATCGTATTTACTACAATGTAATTTACATATCAACATATTTTAAATAAGCATTTCAACAAATCTACATTAATAAATAAACATTCCCAAGTTGAATCGTCCAAAATTTTAGCTTTGGTTATTAGTACATGTTTAAAAATACGAAATATTTTATTCGAGGAAACTGTTAAACTGTATAAAACAAATATTTGTTCAAACTCATTGTTTGTTCTTTTGTTTCGTGTATAACACGCACGCACATTTATATATTGACAATCATTAAATTCCTACAACTTATTATTTAAAGATGGAATTTCAGAAAAATGTTCTTTCTTTTCTAAATTCTCTCGCATCATAGCAGCCAGTCAGTTCTTGGTATCGAGCCATGGCAATAAACGCATTCTTAAGCACGTTTCCACCAAGACAATAACACGCTTGCAGAACTGGACAAAATGGTGAAAATACGCCTTAGGTATAGAAAATGTAATGCATTGTATTGTCCCGTTTTTAGTATTTCTGACAGCAGATAAGAATTTTGAACAGCTGATGTAAAATAAGTTCATCGTATCGACAAATATTACGTTTAAAACTTTTTGTTTTATATTTAAAAAATAAATATATATATTTATATATATTTTGCTAACTATTATCTATAAAACTGTACAAATGACAAATGATATATTAAACATATAAACTAGAACTAAAGTTTCTTAATATTTATTCTATTTAACGTAAGAAATTTCGCTGTATCTCTACTAAACGTTAGCATAGAATACATTAATGGATTAATATTCACTAAAGTTTTATTATCCTTTATTACACACACATAAGAGTATTAAAGTGAATCGTTGTACTACCAATAAATCAACAGGTAATACAACACGATTTGCATATTATGTACGTTATCCTATATATATTGTATATATTGTTTATTGTTAGATCTGATTCATATAGTTTGTATGTTAGCACATGGTATTGGAATTAGTTACTACAATAAATTATTAATCTTGGAATTTATAATATTAACTAGCGTAAATGATGATAATAAATCGATTTTCAACATAACGACGATAAAATACAAGAGACATCACGTTAATAAGTCGACGAAAGGAAGAAGAATTACGATCAAAAATTAATAATATATTTTATAATTATAGTTGCAAAAAAACAGACATAAAAAAAGTTAATATTAAAGTAAAGAAACTACTTCCTGAAATTCAATTTAGAAGAAATTTCTGATAACTTTGGACAAATCACTTGGTATAACATTTCGAAAGTTTCCAGAAAGATAAATTGGAGAGCAACAAATCATTTTTTAATAACAAAAGCTAAAGTGAGATAGATTTAAAAATACAAGCCGAAATAAAATTTAAAATTCCTTTTGCTCAATAATTTATTTTTATTTTAAAAAATTGCTGCGTTATTATAANATTAGCTTTGAATTTTATATTAATATGTTGAGAACTTTGAAAAATTCACCGTAATTGCTGATTAATGACGTAAATTTAAAATTGAAAATTGCATCAAGTTAGTCGAAAGTATAATCAATGTGGCAAAGATTATAGAAGCAATCTCCATAATTCATTTTTATAATGTAAAAAAATGCTTTCTAAATTGTTTTAAAAGTAAAAAGAAAAAAAACTACTCACTCTTCCAACAAAATCCCCTATACCAGGATTAGGAAAAGGAGCAAATTTTCGATAAATGTGTCCTATTCTAGAACAAGGTGCATCAACCATTTGGCCACCACATTGCCAAATTTTGAAAGATAATTCGTACTGTTCTCCACCCCAGACATCTAGTCCTTCGTCATATCCTCCTAATTCCCAAAAGAACTTTCTGTCAATGGCAAATAGTCCACCCGCCATCACAGGACTCCTGAAAGAAAGTAAAACCTTGTCAATATCAAACTTTATTTTAGAAATAAACTAGTTTTCTAGCAAGAAGTGTTGAAACCCGCAAGTCCTTTTTTCTTCAAGTGACAGAACTAAGTTGAGAATCGACCCAACCTGACACACTCGAATAGTTTCGAAACCACTCATTGTTTTGTTTTTATCATGGAAGCTTGTCAGATAAATAGATGTGTGAAAATTTTCTCAAACTTTGAAAGTCAATATTTATCGATTTTTTCATTAAATTACAAAAAGTAAATAAATAAAATAAGATAGGTTTAGACCTAATTATTAAACATAAGATTTTATACGTGTCTGCAATTAGCACTGTCGAGATCAATGTATGCATTAATCATATATTTACAACTTTTAAAATTTAAAACTTAATTAAATTTGTTCTCATGAACTTTAAAAATGGGTTAATTATGGAAATGAGAAGTACATATTTTACAATTTGCAATGGAAATTTAAAATTACTATTCAATTCTGCGGTAATGATTATATAAACAAATAGTTTCTAGCGATTCTATAAATAAAGATGCGGATAATATATCCTAAACTGTCTGCCATTGACATCTTCATTAAGAAAATGCCAGGAACACGTGCACGGACTATTTACGATTACGATATCTTGTTTCCATGGATACCTCATCCCTGTTCTAACTATTATAGTTAGCTCTATCTGTTTACTGAGAACTTGTTCACCGCTGTTGACATTACATGGTTCAGTTGATTGGACATCGAGAGGGTGTGGTCAACTCGTGCTCTCCTCAATCCATGCCACTCATGCTTCATCTGGAACTAGTCTGATACTTCTTCTACCGAGCATTATCATTTTTCCATCAGGATCGTTAACGTCTTCAGACCGAATCATTAGAGGAATCAGATAATTTATCTTTCCGAATTTTGATATTCGGTTAACTAGTAAACACCGACAAAAGCAATAAAAGAATATACAGAATAAAAAAAATATCAGATTCAATCTGTATTTTGTAACCTTTAACCCATCAAATAAGTTAAATAAAGTTATCAAAAAAGTTACTTGAATGGTTCAGTTGGCTGCTGTAAATCTTCGGGCAACAACGGCAGACGTTTATAGTACAATTCCCAATCGAAAGAACCTCTTGCACCTTCGTCCTGTGCCCTGTAGGCGAATGTGTCGAAATCTATGACGTCAATAAAGGGACAAACTACTGTCTTTCTATCCAGTGCAATCGGTTCTGAAAGAGAAACGAAATGTATCGGTGTAGCAATTTATTTCCACATGAAAGTATCATCTTTCTAAACATATCTTATCTGAAGAGTTATTCTTAGACTACATATCGAAATTGCACGACATGAATCACTAATGTTTTTTTTCTCTTTCTTATTTAAAAATATATATTATATAGGTTTATATATGTATACATGTTCCCACGAAAATTTAATTATCTTACTGTTTACAATAAACAATTAAATTTATATAAGCTTTCTAATAAGTAAAAGATAAATATTGTATTAGTTATATTCAAAACGAAAGCTTCATTAAATTCTATCCAATCTCTAACAAATATTCTTTTAAAATGAAAATAAACAAGAAGACAGGTTTAATACCAAGGACAGAAAATTTTCATTTTTATCTAAATATATTTGTATAACAAAGAATGGAGTTGAATGAAGAGCAAACAAAGTACTCAAGCAACATTAAAAATTCGTTTCATACATTTTACGAGACAGAAGTGTATTTTTAGCCAAAAGTTGGTTGTATATCTTCAATAAGCTCACTCAATTCTTATTAGATTCACATGCCTCGAGAGACATTATCTTTACTGTGCGTATGTTAGCATTAAAGTAACGAAATGTAAATACTGTTAGTACTTCTCTCGGCTACCATTCAACGGTTTTCCCTTCACCATGCAAGTAGCTACAGAGTTTATTCTTTAATACTACATCGAGGCATTCCTACATAGCCAAAAGACATTTTGGTAAACAGCAAGCTCTCTGTGCTGGATATATAGAAGACAAGCAAATTTAGTACACTCCTGGGATATCTAAAAGAAGCCTGCGGTGTTTTGGAGAATTTTAGATGAGCAGCTATACATGTGAGGTCACTCAAAAAAGACTTTTGTAAGGAACTTCCGCCCTATTGAAGTTTTTCTTGGCATTAACAAAACCGATGTACATTTATATATATAAAAAAATTCTTTCTTTTTCTCTCTTTGCCATAAAATAAAATCTCTTGATGTATCATTTATTATTAATAATTCTTCAATTTTAAAACACTAGTTAATATTTTAATTTGTAAAAAATTTAAACTTCACAAATTTTTTATTTCCGTTTCCCACTCTAAACATTTCAATTTTTAAAGACAATTGCTTTTATAAAGTATCAGAAAAATTGACTAAATTTTAAGTGTAAACATTAATTTAAATGCTGTAAAAATATATAAAAATTGCAAAATATATTTTTATACGAAGAAAAATCGATTTTGTTACTCTTAAGATGCAAAACGCATTTGAATATTTGAATACTTAATATAAACAACATACAGCACTTATATATTCCAGTCACTCAATTTAGACAATTTAAATTAAAGATTTAACTTTATAAAACAATTTTTATAAAGTTATTTCCTGTATTAATTTTTCTTTATTTTATAATCTTTTTTTTTTTCTTTCTTTTTGAATCAATAAAAGAATCTTGTAGAAGAAGAATGCAGCTTTTATCGATTTTAAAGGAAATTCAGAAAAAACAAAAAAACAATTACAGACTTAAAAGTAATAACCAACTTTCAATTTACAACACATATCTGGATTCGATATTCTATATTAAAATCGAATTCCTCCACAACACGAAGAAGAAAGGAGAATATTTATATTCTTAAATAAAGATTTTCGTTCGTATGAAAAAAAAATAATAATAATAAAAATTAGTGTTTAAATTAACATAAACTAATGAATTTTTGTTTTAGAAAGTAATTCAATATTTCCTGAAAATTATCATCATCAGAAAATCAAAGCAGAATTTAATTAGCTTATTATACTTAGATACATTTTGTTGAAAAGCAAGCGAAGTTTGTATGGTAAATTAAGATTTATTAAATAATTAAATGCGAATCAATATAAGTTTAGTGAAGAAAAATAATTTACCGAGAAGAGGAGGCAGCCAGTTGACATTAGCTTCTGTATGAGAATCCAAAAAAATGATAACATCACCAGTTGTAGCTTTGGCACCCAAAAGGCGGGCACGAATCAGTCCTTCTCTTTTATTAGCCCTGAGAATCCGGACGTTTTTGAAATGTTTCCTTACATAGTCATTTAAAGGCTTCTTTAACTTTTCTGTAGAAAACAAGAAGAATAATATAATGGAAATAGTTCACAGACTGTTCTGGTAATCATTATCGCTAATGATGGAAACCTAATTAGACACTACGCTCTCGTCCCCACTTCGGTTTAAACATTGTAATCTTACACTCCAATTTGCTTGGCATATCGAATATAAAAGTGGTGACAGAACATATTCAAGTTTTATTACATATTCATATCTACCTTTAGTGCTAAAATCGTCCACTAAGATGACTTCTTTAAGCAGTTCTGGAGGGGCACGATTAAGAACGCTCGTAACAGTTCTTAAAAGGGTGCTCCAGTGCTCGTTATGGAAAGGAACCACTACGCTGGCAACTGGCAATTTTTTTTCGTACATTTTGGTCTTGCATCTGCAAAAAAAAATATTAGATTAATCGAGAAAAAATAATTAGGGGCAAAAAAAACAGAAATCTTAACTCGAGTATCGCTTTTTATACACTAAAAAAGTATCGCGTATAAAATTAGGTAAATTAAATATCTTAACGTTTTTTTTTGTTAAGTAAATAGAATATTAAAATTTGTTTTAATTCCAGTTGTAATTTTTATAAACCGTGATAATTCTCTACTTATTAAATTTAATATAGCCTAATTTACTTAATTTCTTAGTTACCATATTTATTCTTCACAAAAGTCGTTTCTTTCATATACTAACCACGGCAATTAAGATTTTTCATGAATTATAAGCACAATTCTAAATTTCCTTATCTTTATTATTTCTGCTTAACGTCATTTGCCCTTATCAGAACAGATCATAGATTTAATTTGACGACCGCACAAGCTTGAAAGAAACGAGCAAATACTTAATGCTTTATACTTTATTATTAAAGTAATTCGCAATTAAAATATTAAATATTTTGCATTATAATTTTCTCTATTGTTTGCATTTAAACATGTGGCTAACTTATTTTATAATCGATGGTAAATATGTATGTTAATTTATACAATTTTGATAAATTCTAATTAGTAGATATTCATAATAATTGATTGTACAGAGATAATAGCTAGATTATTTTATTACGATAATTATAATGACAAATGATGGGCGTGCATATTGTAAAGCAAATGTTCTGGATGACTCGTACTATCTTTTTCTTATATATACATATATATTCTGTAAATGAATGATCAATTTATGTTGGTTATATTATCATTTTAATTTGAAATTTGGCATTGAGCCAGAACGAAGGTAGAAAATCGAAATTTTAACAACTAAATTTTCACATTCTTTCGGAATTTTTGTAAATTTACAGAAAAGAAACCATTTTAAAACGAATGCGTGTGCTGAGCGGAAATTTAACTAAGAGCTTACAGAGCCAGAGGGGAATGCTTTTACCTTCGATCTGGATTAACAAAGAAATAAGAAAAGGGCCAATTTCCAACATGTTATCACGAGACACGACTTGCTACTCACCCAGAATGTCTAATGTCCGATAAAGATCTATTTAAGGCGATGTAGTCGCTGACCAAGGCATTAAATCCGTTCACTTTGTACAGTTCATCCTTCAGTTTCTCTTTTCCGGGTGGAAGATAGAAAGCAGCTCCATGTTCTCCAGGACCTTGTCGCTTACTCTCTTCTGCGATTAAGCTGTAATTGTGCCAATCTTTCTTCGTCTTATCAGAACCTTCTGCGTCCTAGAAAGGAAAAGGACCATTCTTTATTAGATAAGAATCTTAATCTTCACATCTTGACGTCGGTATTCTTGTCGTGTTCACATAGAAAATAAATTTATCAGATCAACGAAAATAATATCTTCTATTTCTTTTCATTGGAATCAATTTTCCGAAAAATAGAATCTACTCTATCAAATTCATACTTCAAAAATGTGAAATTAAACAAAAATTTATTTCAAGATTTTTATGTTTCTTCTTAAAAAATCGATTATTTGAGGTTACAATAAATATTTCATATAAGTTATTTAATAAATAAAAATTACTTATAGTTTATTTCCTACTTAAAAGCTTTTCAACGGAGATTTAAAAAAGGAAAATACGGAAAATGCACTCAATAATACAAAGCAAAGAATTAAGTTGGATTAAATATTGAATGAAAATAATTTTTAACGTACAAAAATCAAATATTTAATTAAATTTTTATTCCGAAAACAAAGTTAATCCTACTAGACAATTCCATTCTTGAGAATTTTATTTAATTCTATAAAGAACTCTATTGCTGAGTAGTCCTATTTACCATTTTAATATCTTTATATCTTTAATAAGTTGCATCAAAACCAAAACGGAAAGTGATAAATTCAACTGTCTACTTTGAAATTCAACTCTCTCCTTTAAATAAATATGAGTAAAAAGTTTTGAAAAAGTCATTAATAGCTCGGAATTGCAAAGAAAAAATATAGTTTTATTGAACTGTAGTTTATTCAAAATGACAAATATTGATATATTTTTTTAAAATAGAAATTCAAATAATGATTCAATAATGTAAAATATTTCAAATAGATAAAAGAAAGAAATATCAACTTACAATATCAAATTACGCAATATTTTCTTTAAACCAATTCTTTTATTCTGACTTATACAGTTAATAGCAAATAGTAATTATACTATTTTAGATAGAAATTTCTACTATTTTTTCCTTACATTTTTACTTTTTTAATAGAATTTAGAAGAAAGAAATCCATTTATTTGATGGCAGTTGGAAATGTTTGCTGTCAATAGTAAAAAGGAGGAAAAAAGCGAGATAATTTGCATGAAAGTGATCCTATTCAGCTGCTTTAACAACTCAAAAAACACAATTAGTCTGATAACTTCTTAATACAGTACTTTTCGCTGATAATTGGAAGTAAATGGACATTTTCCTTTCTAAATAATTGAATTAAATGGAATCTGATGCTTTTAAACTCAACAAAAATAGTCAAACATCTGTATCATTATAAAAATTTTACAAATTAATCCCTCATAAATAGTAATGTTATAACCTTATAAAAATAAAGAAAATCTATAAAAATAAAATTTTTACTTCATATTAAAATAAATAAAATGTTATAGAAGCATTACTTAAAATTATTTCTAAATATTTACTCTTTTAATATATGAACATCATTATATATATATTTTTAATAGTTTAAAACATTATTTTTATTTATTTCAGAAATATATTCGTATAAAAATTATTAAATTGTATAAATTGCATGTTATTTTATATAATAAATTAGCATTTTTTATCAACAGTTTACAATATATATACTTCTTTATACTGTATGTGCATAAGCTTACCGATAAAGTTTTATTGCTAGTTTATATTCTTCTATGAAAATGTAGATATTTATGATATAGATTTACTGTAGTTCACACTATCAGTGATATCCAAACGAGGAATATTTTCATGCTAAAGATCTAATGAATAATTTCATTAGATATGCACATATAATTGGTGATGTATATCATTCTGTTAAAGAATGTTTAGCACGTGTTATTACTATCCTTAATACTATAGTCATATGCATAAGTAATAGGGAAAACAGTAAAAATAGTTTAAATTAAAATATTTATCAAGCGTAAATTATCCAGGGAGTGATGAATCATCATCATAACACGTAAAGTCTATTTAACGTGCTTCCGGTGAGATTTAAATGCTAAATTATAAAATATAGAATATAAACTATTAATTTTATAGGGAAGAAAAAAAACCCTTTAAATTTGTTCTTTTTAGCTTAAAATAATGCATTTATTTAATATGTTTTGGTCATTACGTCTCATCACTATGAATGGTAACGATCAGTACTTAACAAAGTGATATAGAACCGTTCAATAAAGCTCTTATAATTCGAATATTAAGCTACGAAATTTTAAATTACTTTACAGATAATTATCTACGTATGGTGCGCGATAATGCATCCAATCTGAAGAAAATCTTATCAGTTAACACGAAAAATATTGCTCTATAGCCGATATTTTCCTTTTATTTGTTACGAGTAAAAATTCTGGATGAAGGTTATCGATGTTTCTCTTTCTCAGATTTTTCACCAAATGAATTTTTCACGGCGAAAAAAAAATAAATAAAAAAGAAGAAAAAATTCTCGGAAATCAAGGAAATATTTTTTGACACGTTTCAATATTTCGATTATCCGCTTTATTATATAATTTAATGTTTTTAAATTTTTTAAAATAAAAATAATGTATGTCAGAAAGAGCAAATGATGGAGTAGAATTGTGATTAAAATAGCGTGTTCTATACAGTTTGANTTTCATGAGTAAAGTTCAATCAGTAATTAGCTATGAAAGAATCTGGGGTTATTATTTAAAATAGACACACGAAATCCTTGTTAAATTAAGTATTATGACATATATTAACGCCACAATTAATTCAAACAGAAATTTATCCTATTTTATATCTTGTTTATATTATCTTGTCATCTAATACTAATATAATTTTATACAGAAGTAAAACAATAAATTAATATATTCGCTATATAATATTATTCTATTATTCTATGTATGAGTTTTATTCAAATTATTTATAAATTTTTAATATAATTCAAAAATTTGATTATGTTTTGGAGAAAGTTTTCAATTTATATAAACTTGAAAACAATGAATTATTAAATTGAAAATAAATATTAAAAAATAATTTATTATTTCTAAGTTTACAATGCTTCCAATCCTGTGTTAGCAGTTATCTCAAGATATCCAAACTTTACAGAATAAAAAAAAAATTGTGGAAATATGGATCAAAGAAGAATCGATTCTATCTTCAAAAATCACAGACTGAAATGATATATTCAACCCCTCGTTGGTATCGTTCGGACTTTATCCTTTTCTTTCTTTGAAAAAAATCCCTCAAATTTTGATAACGTAGACTTATTGTATTAAAAAAAATATTACATATTTTTATAATTAGGAATTCGTAAATACTTTCGTCATTTAGCATTATAATTTCAATAAATCGTAATTATATTAATTCAGTTTGTTATTTTTAATTATATTTTTAATGTTAATATAGAATTAAGTTTTATAACACTTGAAATATTAAATTAACAATGAATGACATGGCATATAAACAACAAATCGAGTATTTTTGAAAGGAGAAAAGAGTGATATTAAATTTATAAAATTATAAATATTCGGGTAAGAGTGAAGTGATGGTCTATCAATCTTTTTTCCATCCAAAGTTCCCATACAAACATAACCGTCAAAAAATCGTTAAAGAAGATTAATGATTCCACAACCAACAGTTTGGTAGTTCCTTGACCACAGGTCGTTTTATCACAATCGCCATGGCAACGGGACCAAAACACCATTCGGTCCGAGATGAAGAGTAATTAATGAATTGTCATTTTTTTTAAATAATCATTTATCGATAATCAAAAACTAAACAATTTCTTTACCTCGCCTTTGGCGTAATCTGGAGGTTCGATGGGTGGATACTTTTTCGGTTGATCGAATGCGACCGTATCCATGAACCATTTGAATGGTTTGCAGTTCAGTTTGTCTCTCAATGCTTTCTGTTTCGTTAAATCTCCCGGATCCAGATGGCGATAATGGGGCCTCCTCATATATAGATATTCTTTGTATTCATCCATCCAAACTTCGGCAACTCTCTTATAGTTCTGAAAGAAAAATAAATTCAAGGTAATCGCTCTACTTCAACAACAAATAGAATTTTTGCCAATTAAGCTTATGTGGCAAAAGTGCGTTTTGTAACAACTCTAATGGTTTGTTTTCTACTGAAATTGTCTTCATTTTAAACTAACAGGTTCTTTCTTTCTTATTACATTGAATAAACTGTTTGCCATCAGCTCGAAAATTGTTTTCGCTTGAAAACATTCTACGACTATCAAGAAATAAAGAATCTTTATGCTTTTTTTTATAATAAAAGCGTAATTATAAAGTTTTAAATTTATTTTTAATTATAATTTTAATCTTTTTTATATTAAAATTGGGATTAAAATATTTTACAAAAATGATAAAAATAACCAGGTTAAGAAAACCGTTTTTAAACAGCATAAAAGACAATTTCAATTTTGCTGTGTTAAACATGTTTCTGCGTAATTTAACATAATTAAAGTGCTGAATTTTAGTTTTAATTAATTAAAATGTTTATATTTGTTAAAAATCTGAAAACTTATTTTAATAAGTCTTTATCATTTATATAATTAATTCAAAATTACCATCCTTATCGTTTGAATTTGATAAATATTTCAAACTTTTTAATTTATATTAGCTTTGAATTTTATATTAATATGTTGAGAACTTTGAAAAATTCACCGTAATTGCTGATTAATGACGTAAATTTAAAATTGAAAATTGCATCAAGTTAGTCGAAAGTATAATCAATGTGGCAAAGATTATAGAAGCAATCTCCATAATTCATTTTTATAATGTAAAAAAATGCTTTCTAAATTGTTTTAAAAGTAAAAAGAAAAAAAACTACTCACTCTTCCAACAAAATCCCCTATACCAGGATTAGGAAAAGGAGCAAATTTTCGATAAATGTGTCCTATTCTAGAACAAGGTGCATCAACCATTTGGCCACCACATTGCCAAATTTTGAAAGATAATTCGTACTGTTCTCCACCCCAGACATCTAGTCCTTCGTCATATCCTCCTAATTCCCAAAAGAACTTTCTGTCAATGGCAAATAGTCCACCCGCCATCACAGGACTCCTGAAAGAAAGTAA